TAATTGTACAAAGTTTTATTTAATTATTTTAGCATTTTAAAAAAATAAATCAGAGCTAAAAAAGTGTAAAAACGCAGACAAATTTGCCTGTATTCTACTACAATCTAAGGGATAGTTACATGATCATTATAGTACATCAGTATCATATGATCACTGTCATTCCTAAGGACGTAATAAATAGTTAAGTTACACCTCCCTCTTCTTTAAAGTATAAGGTTTCTGAGTGATACAAATCATTTGTGAAATATTATAATAATCATAGAAACTTTTCATTGATACTATTTTAATTTTGCTGTCACTTTTTTTTTTTTTTATAAACTTTAGATAAATATAATAGGCTCCCACAAAGGATGGCTATAATATTTCTTTAGCCGATCTGTATTAATCAAATTCTTCAGAACCTTCTTCTCTGGTGTTTGTAATTTGTATATTCCTAGTGTACCGTAATCATGAATATAATAAGGACATTTCTATTTCTTTCTTAGCTTGTCACCATAAATCTTTTCTTTGGCAGATTTATACACTAGGACCTGTTCTCCAATTTTAAATTTTTCTAGCTTAATTCTTTTGTCATGATATTCTTTTTGTCGCTGTTGGGTCCTATAAATATTACTTTAAGCCTGAAGCCTCTTTTGATATAATTGATCCGTTATTTTTTCAATATGTTGTTCTAGCAATTTTTCTAACGATACTTCTAGAGATCCTTCTTTTTTCTATAATTGTAGATTCAATGGTATGGTGGCTTGGCATCTATAAATAAGATAAAAAGTAACATACTAGTAGAATGATTCTGAAGGGTTTAATATACAAATAGGGCTGTAGATAATAAGGTATCCTATATAGTTTTATAGTCTTCTACCAACTTCACTAAAGTAGAGCAGAGTATTTTATTAAATCTCTCGGTTAAGCCATTTGTCTGCGAGTGATAGGTGGTGGTTAAACAGTGTCTGGTAAACATAATCCTATATAAAGAATCTACTATTTCATTGCAAAAGGAGCGTCCCTGATCGGACAAAAGAATTTTGAACATCCATGGTAACAAATGATGTCTTTATAAATAAACTAGGCTATGGTAGGGTTGTTATATCAGAAATTGCTCGGGCTTCAGACCACTTTGTTAAGTATTCTGTGGCCACAACGATATAATAGTTTCCACTATCTGTTATATCTTTAAAAGACTCAGCTATATTGATTCCAACTCTGTCAAATAGGTCTTCTACTTCAAGTGGGTGGAGTTCTTCATATAGTCAGAGTGCACCTTGTCATTAACATATATCGCAGGTTTGTACATACCGTATTTGTCCAAAAATAAGCTACCATTTTTGGTTAAAAAGTTACACAAAAATTTTGCGAATAGCTTATTATTAGATAAAAGTGTTTTTTGCTAATTACACAAAATTTATTAAGTAAATCGATGATGCTTAATAAGTGAAAGTTGTTCAGGAGATCAAAATACATATATTTTAAAAGTTTCATGTAAACGGATAACTTTTTATTAATTGACTTTTGATTTTTATATTCAACACATATGAATTTTAAAGAAACGTTAAAAAAATTTTAAAAAATTTGTCGAACGTAACATGCAAAAACGTATTAATAAA